AAAAAAAGTTTTATGTTTTATCTGTTATTACTTTATTTATTGCTAAACCCCAAACATCAACGCGAACATTCTCTAAGTGGCCTAATTCCATATTTCTTACCGGGAACATTACTACTTCTGTCAAGACCAATTAACGCATTTCTCTTGTGTGTGTGAGCGTGTGATCTGCCACTACAAACTCGTTTCAGCAGGGATGATGTTTATTTTTTGTTTTTTCCTCTATGTATGTTAATTTTGTGAGCTTCATGTTTTGCCACTTTACATTAAAATCTATCGTATGTCGCTGGTTGTGATTTTGAAACATGTCTCCCTTCTATGATTTTCCTCTGATGAGTTTGTTCTCGTTAAATTAGGGATGGTGGCGTGAAATATAGAAGATGTTGTCAGTTGATGAACAGAAGCTGAAAGTGTTGAACTGGGTGAGAAAATAGACAAAACAAAAGAATATAATTTGTTATTCGATCGGGAAGTTTTTAATGTAAAAAATTTAAGGAATGTTTTTAAGAGTCTCTGTAAAAAAATAAAGAAAAAGCTGATTTTACTCCTGGGGTGAATTAAAGAGTAAGTAAGGTGTATTGTCTATTACACGGAGCGCTAATTTTAACGTACTATCCGAATCTAGGTCTGAAGTGTAAGAAAAGCTAACCTCTTGGTATTCATAGCACGCATGCACCAAGTTTTTCTTTTTATACGTGCCCAAAAGCTGAAAAGAAGTTACTGATGCTGATAGTGTTATCAAAGCATGCGCATCTACAGACCTAATAGTTTATAACAGCTTATTTTATTCATATATATATATATATATATATATATATATATATATATATATATATATATATATATATATGAAGAAATATAGTCTTAAGATGTGCTATATTTATGGGATAAAGTACTCAATATCAGAGATAGAGCGTGTGTAAATATAAAAGTGAACATAGAAGTCAACACTTAGAGCCAACAGTCTGTTTCATGCTATATGCAGTCGTCAGGCCAATGGCCTGACGATTGTATCTAGCATGAAACAGACTGTCGCCTTTTACATTTCTCATTTCAATTTATTCAATTTACAGGGCGTCTATCCAATTCTTTCTTTTTTTTTTTTTTTAGTCATTATAGTTGTTTTTATCCTATGCACTTTATTATTATGGGGTATAAAATTATACAGACTGTCAAACATTTCACATTTTGCGAACCAGCCATTTGTATGTAATTTCATAAGTTCTGGAATTTTAACGGAAACTATGTTGTCGTGTTGGAAGTCGAGAGTGTGTGCAATTAAAAAAAAAATGTGGATAAAAAGAGAAATGCTTATTTTTTTTTTTTTTTGCTCTTTCGATTGGTAAATCTTTTTTTACGTCGGGAATTCCGAAGTATTTGTTTTTTGTAATTATCACTAGTGTGGTTGGTTTCTTTTTCACGTCGATTTTTTTAAATGGTGTGGTGAATAAGTTGTTTTCTTTTTTTTATCTACGTCGTTGTACACTAAACGATGTGGTAAATAGGAAGATTTTGGAACGTCGGGTATCACCAAAATGATGTGCAGACTAGTATGTTTTTTTGAACGTCGGTCACCAAATGAATGATTTAGTTGTTTTTTATACACGTCGGTAGTCAACAAATGAGGTGGATGAATAGGTTGTTTTTGTTATGTACGTCGGTGGTTACTAAATTGATATTGTTAGTCGTATGTTTTTTTTTGTTTTTTTTTGCATACGTCGGTGGATACCAAATGATGTGGGTGAATAGGCTGTTTTTCTTATGCACATCGGCGGTCACCAAAATGTTGTGGGTGTTCACTCACATCATAGCAGCAGAAATTAGACTCATGTTACTGAAAATATAAGTATACTTGACAGGAAATAAAAGGTACAGAAATAACAGGAAAAGCATGGTAAAATTTATGTTAATTTCATAAAATTTACTTTGTGTGTGTTTTGGTGTTTGTATTTTTAGGTTACAATTGTTTTATGGCACATATGATAAAATGGAGAATTTACTTCGTAGTATTATAAGCCATATCACAGAGAAGTTTACACGTGTTGCCCGTACCAAGGTTCGTGGTGAAGAGATTGAATTTAACGACTTTTGACAGGATGTCCGTACCTCCGACAGGAACAGTTTTTGTTGCATAATAATAATAATAATATTCCTACAAATTTGATTAAATATCCGTTTTGTTATATGCTTTTCTTCCACTGCAGCATTAATCTATTTTCCCTCTCCATTTCTGGGATGAGAAGTTATCATTAGAAACGGAATATTGTCCCCATTGTCCCCTCCGGCCTTCGTCAGGTGATTGTCGATCCGGGTAACCTTCAGGGAATTTCGGACTGAACTTTTTATTTAATCTATCGGAGTAGATTGTTCTCATTCCTCTAGCCATCCACAGAAAGATCTCGTCTCGCTCTTATTGTTATTAATTATTTAATCTTATAGCCTGTCTATTTGTATATAATTCATCAGATATTCAAAATCGACATGACGATGCCATTTTCTGCACCGATAGCCACAAGACCACATTTAATAATTACTGCATTTTTATCTTTATAATTAATACCTTATGTTACGGCAGGTAATTAATTTTTTTTTTCCAGAACTCAAAACGAACAAAATCGGGTCAAATTTGCTTTATTTGTTTACCGGGGAGATATCTATCTAATGGCGGATTGCAACAAAGGGAAATAAATCTGAAATAATGTTTCTCTAAGCTCCAGACAGTTTCATAGTTTCTCCGGATTACATTGAGTCTAGACAGCTCAAATGACCATGAGCACAGAAAAATGAACTGGATTCGTTATAAACAGTCGCTTTCTAGGCTATACATATAATTTCGAAAGAAATATCGCAGATTGTCACAAAAAAGTAAAACCGAATAGACAAGTTAATATTTATTCAATTTTATCTCGATTTATTTTCTCAGTGTGCATTGGCGATTTAGGTGCCTTATACCCCAAGATTCATTTTCACGTTTTCGTAATACTAACGAATCACAAAAGTAGACAAAATATCCCAATTTTTTATTTCCCTTTTACCATTTTTTTACAAGTTTTGGTCATTTTCCTTACTCTAAAATCAGGTGCGTTTTATACATGATGATAAGCTTTTTTAATGGAATTTCTCTGCCTCTTATACTCTCTAGCGATCTATAAACGAAATATTATATATATATATATATATATATATATATATATATATATATATATATATATATATATATATATATATAAAAAAAATCAAAAGCTACCTCATTCGGTAAATAGATATTTCGATCCACAGATTTTCTTGTGGACCTTATCAATTCAGAGATGTTAGGAAATGAGATAAGAGCTTAAATTTTAAACAAAGAGTAAAAGACGAGGAATATAGAAAAAGAAAAAACATAAAAAAAGAAAGAAAGAGAAGAGAGAGGAAGAAGCGGCAGATAAATGTCTAGGCATAAGTTTCCATAGATGTCCAATATTATAGTGAGAATCTAGATCAGTGGATCTCAACCTTTTTTTACCCATGGACCCCTTTCCCCTTCTTTTTATCTTGGTGGACCCCTTCATAGCTATTGGACATAAGAACAATTTTCTATTCTTCACTAATATAAATTTTAAGGTTTTAATTATCAAAGAAATAGTATACGATTAAGCTTTATTTTTAAATGAAAACTAATTTAATACAAATAAAATATTCTACTATAATTATAATAATAATTATTATTACTATTTTTAATTAACACAACAACTGAGTTTTGCCTGTGGACCCCCGGAAATATTACATGGACCCCTAGGGTCCATGTAGACCCCGGTTGAGAACCACTGATCTAGATATTGAAGGAATAAAGAGAGAGGAAGAGACATTAAAGGTAAAAAGGAAGAGGAAGAGAGAAAATAATAAACTATAAAAAAGAAAAAGAAAAAAGCTGAGAGGAAGGAGAATAAAGAGGAAAAAGCAGATTTAAAAGGTAATAGAAGTGGTAGAGTCTGTTTCAATATGGATCAGTTTTAATATTTCATATTTTTAGGATCCACCTGGATTATATAACATCGGATTATTATATATATATATATATATATATATATATATATATATATATATATATTTGTTTATACACAAAATATTATAAAAGATTATTTTTTTATATTTATATATATATATATATATATATATATGTAATATATATGGGATAAGAATATATCATTTTTTTATATATTAAGAACAATTTTGGCGGAAAGATATATGACAAAGTGGAAAAGGTTTCGATGAAGATCTAAAGGAAGAAACACGTTTTTACACTTTGTCATATATATATATATATATATATATATATATATATAAGTGAACTTTGAAGTCAACACTTCAACAGGCGACAGGCTGTCTCATTCTAGACGCAATCATCAGGCCTGACGATTGCGTCTAGCATGAAACAGCCTGTCGCCTCTAAGTGTTGACTTCAATGTTCACTTTTATATTTACACACGCTCTATCTCTGATATTGAGCACTTTATCCCATAATTATAGCACACATTAAGAGTATATTTATTCATATATATATATATATATATATATATAAATGTAAAAGACAGTAATAAACTGTAATAGTAGCCGACGCGTTTCGTCTAATGTGGACTTTTTCAAGGCAAAATCGAAATGAATTTGTTAAAACGAAGTAACTATTAATAACAAAACAAAATGTCCTTAGCAACTGGAAGAATTTAGAAAACGCTATTATATTTATAAATATTGTCTTTTTTCTACAGGTTAACTCTGAGAAATTTTTCATATATATATATATATATATATATATATATATGTATGTAGGCATATTTTAAATCAATCAGGTATGGTTAAATAATTTTGATGTATTATGTCTATTTATTTTTATTTTAATCCTTTCAAATCCACGAATTTATGTCTTGGTGGCTGTAGAAAACTGATAAGAAAAGCAAAAGTAAACAAGAAAGATATTCTATACTGAAATAAAAAGTATTTTAAAAAAACTTCGTAAATAATGACTTTTCTAATTACATCATTGAAGAACAAATTAGACGAGCTATTGGGAATATAAAGACAAATAAAAATGAACGTAATACATCATCAAATAACTCTAAACATATCAAATGACTACACCGTAATCAAATGCATTCTAACTATAAGCAGTAGGACAAAATTCTAAAGAGACACATGAACACTCATAATATATCACCCACTGATTCAAGCAAAATAATAATAATAATAATAATTATATACTATACTAAAATTAATACAACCAGCCTAGTCGTCTAAAACGATTCTCTTCCGTCAACTAGCATCTTACAGAAGACCAACATTGTATATCAATTTAAATGACCTTTGGGAGATTGCATAATAAAAATAGATTGATAAAAATGTTAAAATATATTTTAGTTTTACAACGACGAAGTTGACGAGACGGCCTACGTTTCACTTGAATGAGAATAGTTCATTCTCAGAACAATTAAAGGAACACTCATGTCTACATGCACAGTTTAGTCAGATAGTAGTCGAAAATACATTATTACTTCATCAAAATAATAAGCAAAAACTTAAAATTCTGGAAGCCCTTTATATAAGAGAATAGCGGCCAAAAATAAAGTCAACTATGAATATAGCTACAAATTTCTTAAATGTTTGTAGCAACAGTTTTATATACAAATACTAAATTTAATATCATATTTTACAAAAGAGCATTTATTGTCTGTTTATTTTGTCATACGGCATACCAACCTCAATGAGTTATTTAATGCCGACAAGATTTTTATTGCTGGTAATATTTTTTCCAAAAAAAGTATTACTGTTAATATTTTTCTTCAAAAATCTATTGCTGGTAATATTTTATCTTTTTCGAAAGTTTGTTGGTAATAATGTGTTGTATAAGAGTAAGTGTCCTTGCCGACACTGTGGTTTGAAACTAGATCGCCAGTGAGTAACACGGCGATTCCATTATTAAGTAGATAACGTGATCATAAAGGAAGTGAATAAATACGAAGTAGCGTAAGGATGACTGTTTTCGTCTATCCACTATTGCTATACGTTCACTATCTACTCTACTACTATACGGATTACGATTCTTTTCTGATCATTATACTATCTGGCAATTACTACTTGAACAAGTATTACTAGTGCGGATATTATTGAAAGGTGTTAATACTAATACCGGCGTCTAAGAAGTCTCGAATATAACGAGCACTTATGGAAGTGATAATGAGCTTTCGCTTGACATAGAAAAAGTGACAAGCGAAGCCGTCCAATATCACAAAATAATGTATTGCTGGTAATAATTTTTTCTTCAAGAATTCATTGCTGGTAATTTTTACAAAAATGTATTGCTGGTATTAGAACCTATTTTTACACTTTCACAGTGTTTTGTACCCAGTTTGGAGGTTAACTATTTGCCCATAACTGTGACCCTAACAGGTCCTACCACTCCGAGTCAGGGCGGGCCTGGGAAGACCAGCACTTAGGAGGTGGTTCCACGCTCCTCAAAGCCTCCTAATCAGAGGCCTTGCTGTCAGATGTCGTTTATAGTCTTACCCAGGACATGAATGTAGTTTATCGTCATACCCAGGACGGAGAATTTATTATTTTTAAACCACTTAATACAATCATTGGTAGTTAGGTGAAACCTTGGTAGACAGGTTTTATATATATATATATATATATATATATATATATATATATATATATATATATATAAAAGGCTAAACACTAATATTCCATGGTCATAATTTATTCCATTGGAATCGTAAATACGATCCAATTCATCAGACCTACAAATTCAGAAAGAATTTGAATTTGTAGGTCTGATGAATTTGAATTTGTAGGTCTGATGAATTGGATCGTATTTACGATTCTAATTGAATAAATTATGACCATGGAATATTAGTGTTTAAGCCTTTTTATTATATCCTTACTCTGTCCTGGACATTGAGTTCTATCTGGATTCTATCCTCTTGGAATTTTTTATTAAAAAAATATACATGTATGTGTATGCACCTATGTATATATACTTATGTATATGTATATTTACCACTAATATTATATATATATATATATATATATATATATATATATATATATATATATAGTCATAACCTATTTGTTTGGGCTCAAATATATATATAGTTCTAATCTATTTTTGGGGGCTTACTAGGTTATAAATATATATATAGTTTGTCTCAAGGGATAGCAGAACATGTGAGGGCTCTTAAAGAGACAAGGATTACTCAGAGTTACGAAATGTAGAAAGGTGTGGAGGGCCATGATTGTCCACGTATAGAAGGTACACGGTACATAAAAGAAGAATCTTTTAAAAAAAAAAAAAAAGACATTCAACGAATAACCGCGAATAGACAAGATGGCGTTTCAGAACAATTTTCTTTCCAATAAAAACCCGCCTGCAGGCGTCTCTCTCGAGTCGCTATTGTCATCACGCCTGGCCTCATACGCGCTTCCCACGACCCTTCACGCGCCGAAGACAGACGCAAAGGCTTCCCTGTGACCGCCAACTGGAACAAGTTCATATAATCACTTGCCTCTGGTAATGTACAAAGCAATAACTGCTCCATTGAGGTTGGTTGACGTACCATTAATGGCAGCTTGTGTTGAAAAATGTGCAAGGATCGAAAAACACGCATGCATATATGCAAATATATACGGACAGAGATTGTCAGGCACGTGTAGACAGATAAACGAACAAAGACTAGGAGAAAGTCATCGATTATACAGACAGACAGACTATAAAACAAATTAATCAATTGTCGACTGATTCGTTTTCTACGGATTATCAATCCTTTTCAGGTTATTTAAAGCAGCAAAATATTTTTTGCTTGTAAGAATTTCGAGGGAGAGATAAGAGACCCGGATATAAGAGAGATTTTCTCTGGTCCCAAATTAGAGCCTGTGTTAATGTATATAAAATAAACCAAACCCGGATATAAGAGAAACCCGGATATAAGAGACTTCTTGTCCGGTCCCGACAACTCTCTTATATCCGGGTTACACTGTACTAATTAACCCATACCTGGGGAGAAGAGGTGGATTCATACATTTTTCGAATGGGTATTTGCGCATAAGTTATTTAAAGCCACAAAATATTTTAACTTGTAAGAATTTTTTTTATTTGAGATAATAATGGAAGTGTTTTTTAACAGAGGACAGAAAGTATGAACTCAAATCCAAAAGCACACTGGGATAGCCAAAGATGTGATTCCGAAAGCTAATCAGAGTATTAAGAAACCGAAAAAACTCCGTTAGAAACAAAGAAAGAATACTAAACTGTTAACGTGATGTTTGCGTCTAGAGAAAGATGCTTTCCAAAAGCTAAGCAAAATGTTTACCGCTTGAACCCGATCGGCCGGAAAAACAACGCATAACATACTTAGTGAGCTTGAGTAAATGGATGGCGGAACAAGGTTTAGGAGAAATAACAAAAAGAGAAAATTCTATTAAGAGTTACAAAGGACAGGAAATCGTGAAAAGCCATAATCGCCTACGGCACATAAAGAAGAATGAGTTTAGTGATACAAGTCTTACTAATGAACTGGTGGGAAGAGGTGATTTCGTTCCTTTCCCAAGGATATTTGCGCGTAAGTGAATATAACCGACTGAACTGGAATTCGAACTCAGATCTCCGATTAACGATTCCGAGTCCTTATCCATTCCAGCAATCACACATCCAAGCTTACAGCACCTGGTATTCCAAAGTGTTCACCCAGGCTCGACGTTGCTTAACCTGGGTGATCGTACGGGAATCGATGTTTGTGGCCGTAAGCCGAACTAATCAATGAATGCAAAAATAAATAGATATCAGCTTCAGTTGTTGTGAATTTGGATTTGTTTTCACTTTTAACATCTATGCGATGGTAGATCAAAATCCCGTGACTTGATACCTCGTTATTAGCTAATTTTGTTCAGGAATATTCACTGTTTAATGCTGTGTTGTTAGCCACGTATTATGAACGTCAAAATCAAGCAGGTATTTAGATTCACTTTAAGAAACGTCATGAAAACACGCATCACTCATGTTAAACGAACTAAAGCTATCAAATTAATTAATAAAAAGTTAAAAACATATAACCTTATTATCAGAAATAAAATCTCGCCGGCGAAATCAAAACTATACTAAGATTATTTTATAAATTTAGATGACTAACTCAAATCCATAAATAATTATGTTGGACACAGTACAATCCGTCTGTCAAACACACACACACACACACACACACACACACACACACACACACACACACACACACACACACACACACACACATTATATATAAATTAAAAGAAAATTATTAAATCAAAACCATTTATTATTTAAAATAAATAAATACATGACCAAAAACCTAATTGTTGTAACCTAGGAAAGGTTATTGAATGAAGAATAACCAAAACGGAGGTTGTAAATGAAATGGTAATCTTTATAAAATCAATAAAATACAATACTCGCCAGCGACGTGTAGAAGGTAAACCACTGCTTGTGGTGGACTACTTAGACATTATTACCACCACTTACAATAGTATCCGGCGTATTTATGAGGATTGGGACATACACATTAGTGTTTATAGGTATGATACATAACACTAATAAATAATAATTACAGTAATCTATATATATAAAGAAATAAGAAAAAACATTCAATATATATATATATATATATATATATATATATATATATATATATAAAAAAATATGTTGTAGTGGTTCCAACGAGAAAAATATGTATATTAAAAAAGAAGAAGAAGAGGTGCCGCAAACGTTTTTGGTTGTAATGTGGATTTATTTAGAAAAATATTATGCTTTGTTTTACATAATTTTACTACGACACGTGTTTCTGGTCTCGCGACCGTCTTCAGGTAAAAGTGGAGATTTCTACATATTATTAAAAATAATTAATTTTTCTTCATGTTCAATGTGAAATATTTTCGATATGAGACATTCTCTGTTTGTGTGTTGGTAATCCGAATTTCTTTCTAGAATTGTCAATGAAGAGTTCTGCGCGAAGGGTCATAAAACAATCAAGGTTGGTCCAGCGAGTAGTTATCGGCATTTTATCTTTTAATGTTTTAGTGACCCCTATGTGCTCTTGGATATGTATCTGTGAAGCACGAAAAAATATATATACACATATATATATACGCATGTTGACAAAAGCAGGGTAACTACTCACGAGCACGCACACAAACCCCACACAACTTAGGAAGTACGTATGTATGTATATACGTATATATGTGTATATGTGTGTGTGTATGTGTATACTGGTTTCATGTAACTTGGGAAGTATGTGTGTGTATGTGTGTGTGTATGTGTGTGTGTGTGTGTGTGTATATATATACTGATTCCTTGTGGTGGGACGGTATGTGTGTGCGTATGTGTATGTATGTGCGTATGTGTACAAATGAGTTTACTAATTCCTCATAGTAAGACAGTATATGTATGGAGGGGGAATATATGCACGCATATATACACGCATGCTGACAGAAACACACCAAAATGGAAATAGATCTAAGAACACACAGGGGTCATTAAAACATTAAAAGATAAAATGCCGATAAGTAATTCATCATTTCTCTTGGACTAAGTTTAATTGTTTTATGACCCTTCGCGCAGAACTCTTCATTGCCAATTCAAGAAAGACATTCGGATTACTAACACAAAAACAGAGAATCTCTCATATCGAGAATATTTAACATTGAAAAACATAAGGAAAAAATTAATTATCTTTAATAATATGTGGAAATCTCCGCCTTTTACCTGAAGACAGTCGCGAGACCAGAAACTCGTGTAGTAAAATTATGGAAAATAAAGCATAATATTTTTTAAAAAATCCACATTACAACCAAAAACGTTTGCAGCACCTCTCTTCTCTTCTCTTCTTTTTAATATACACACTTTTCTCTCGTTGGAACCACCATAACTCTTTCTTTTAGTATATATATATATATATATATATATATATATATATATAAATATAGTTCAAAACATAGTTCATGTTACGAGGTTTATGTAGAGTGCTTGATAGTTTCCTGCGACATTGTATTCACAAAAAATTGCAAAAATCTGTGAAAAAATCGGGATTTTCTTATTACTTAAAATAAAAAGTTGAATAACTTCCTCATTTTTTACTCGATTTTCTTCAAACATATCGCAAAAAAAAAAAAAATGTCATCATGCAAGAAATAATTTAGTGTGCTTTTAGTCCTGCTCGCTTCCCCGCGTATAACGAAAAACCACGAAAAAACAGTTAAAAAGTCTGTTTTTCGGCCATAACTCTCTGGATTTTCATCAGATGCATTCCAAATTTACCATGTAAATTACATATGTCACACAAATCGTCTTGCACGAATGTTTGGTTTAGATTATTTCAGTTAAATCTGCAATAAACTAGGTCCAAAATTCCATCCTAAATTGGTATTCGAGAAACCTTTGATGCAAAGGTTGTTTGAGAAGGATTATTGAAGGGGAAATTTCCCGAAAAACTTCTTATTAATCCCAGCTTTACATTAAACGTGCGAAAAAGGAGGGGGCGTTCCTGAGTTTGCACTTGCTGTTGAATCAAGCACTGACGCTTCATCCCTGTTTTGTTTCATTATTAGATTTGTGAACAATGTCATACTATTTGAAAATTATTACAGCCATAGAAAATTTAATGAAAATCTAAAACATTGAAACAATTTAACCCCGAGCAACACACAATAAAGTTTTTATCGATAGAATTCTTTTAAGAACAGACAAACACTTGCGAAGGACATATCGTAAAAAAAGATGAGGGGGGGAGTAGCTTAGTAAACAACAGATGATGCATCCAATCGGGGACCCAGGCAGACAGTTGTAGACAGAGGCTGGGGGTATACAGGGGTGCGGTTATACAATTGTAGCTAACCGGATACCTCGGGTAGTAAATAACAACTACATTGTTAAATATATACAAAGAAATTAGAAAAAAAACATTCAACATATACTATTTATTAATCCTATATATATATATATATATATATATATATATATATATATATATATATATATATAAACTTTCTCACAGACGTGCCGTCGCTTCTGTCTGTCTTTTTCTACAAGTACTTTCACGGTAACTACCCTGACGAACTATTTTTTCTGGTTCCCAAACTGCATGAATTTTAGGATGTTACTAAGTTGGCATCTCAGTGCCACCCTTTCACTGTCAAAACGGTTAAATATAGCCGTCTCTTCTACTCCGATAGCTTTATGTCTTGCACTTCCCGTGTGTAGAACTCCCTTCCTCTTACTTGCTTCCCTGACAGAGTCTTCAAATATTCAAATGTAATGTCAATCGACATCTTCAGATGCCTGATCTAATTCCCCGTCCTTCTCTTTATCCTTTCCTCTATCAGGCCTCTTTACTCTTGTTCCCACTCTCTGTAACCCCTTGTGTGCTAGTGGGTGGCACTCCTGCCTTGCTTGGGGTGAAATGCTTAAAAAATTATATATATATTCCTCAATCCGAGCCGCTCCA